AAAAATCTCGTCAAAAGCTCTGGTAAAACCTTGGCAAATTGACCATTTAAGCAACCAATACTTTTTGACGCCGTTTTTGTAAAGTAATGGACTTTTGATCACTTTTGAGCCTAAGTTCATGGTTTGCACATTTACTTGGCATAAACATTCACGACTATAAAAAAGTGGAATTACGGACCCAATTTTGGGGCCCAGATGCAAAGTGGATCCGTTTGACACGCAGTTTCTGAGGGATCCACTAAACGAATCTGCTCGTGCTTTTGCATGTTGGAGTTTCATGCGGATAGCATGCACTATGCAAAATTTGAGCTCAGGAGGTTGGCTGGAACACGCTCTGCGAATTTCGTAACAGACACACTCACACACACACACACACATAGACACACAAAGTCACGTAAACATCCTTAGCCCGTTATCTTATACCAGTGCGTCACCTCTGCTTCGCAGAGGCTCGCACTGGCTCTACTATCTATGTGCCTTACTCATTCTCGTAAAATCGTGGCACTGGAACTCACCGCGCTATGCCGACTACCATGAATAAAATGTAAACAATCACTCATTTAGAAAGTTTTTTCACGTGAGATCGGTGATTTCGCGTGGATGAAACTTTTCGCAGGAAGACAAACGCAAATTTGAATAGGTTTTTGGATTTGTCATGGCTTGGTAGTAGCCATAGAGGTAATAGTGGCTGTGAGCTACATCCCTGTGCGAAAATCTTCTCAAACGCCTAGCTAGAACCTTGGCAAATTGACCATTTACACAACCAATTCTTTTTGGCGCCGTTTTCGTTATGTAGTAAACTTTCGACCATTTCTCGGGCTAAGCTCCATCGCTTGCACATTTGCTTACCAAACTCATCCACGACTCTGCAAAAAGTGGTGATACGGACCGAATTTTGCGGTACAGAAGCCAGGTGGACCCGTTTGGCGCGCAATTTCTGAGGGATCCACTCAACGAATTTACTCATGCATTTGCATGTTGAACTTTCATGAAGGTAGCATGCGCTATGCAAAATTTGGGCTTAGAACGCTGGCGGGAACACGCTCCACGAATTTCGTAACAGACACACTCTCACACACACAGACACACACACAAAGTCACGTAAACATCCTTAGCCCGTTATTATAAGTTACGATATAAAGCTGAATGTCTGTATGTCTGTCTGTATGTCTGTACGTATGTGCGGAATAGAAATTTTTATTTCTGAACCGATTTGGACCAAACTTGGCACACATATACTTCGGGGCAGGGAGCGTGTCATAGGCTACTTTTCGTTATCGATCGATATCGATTTTATCGATTTTTTGCAAAATTTGAGCTAGGGGGCTGGAATTTGGCAGAGGGGTGTAATCGAGCATGCTGATCACCCCTCCGGGTTGATCAGCATGCTCGATTACCCCCCTGTGCAAAATCCTAGCCCCCTAGCTCAAATTTTGCAAAAAATCGGTGAAATCGACATCGATCGATAACGAAAAGTAGACTATGACACGCTCCCTGCCCCGAAGTATATGTGTGCAAAGTTTGGTCCCGGGCGGAGCCGGGTTTGCCATCTAGTTATAAGTAAAGATGGGAAGTTTTGCAGCAGTTTCTATGTTTTGTCAGGCAAAGATGAACGTTACATTCCTCATCTTGCGTGAACGTCCTCCACATGATACTAGTTTACATCGTTGTTCATCACCATCTTCATGTATCGGCCAGTGTCACGTTGTCATATTCGATGTCATTCAAAAGTCTCAAGCTGGGCTTCAAGCGTTTTGCTGGAACGTATTCATGATATTTGGGAGTTGGACAGCGGTCTTCCTTGTCTTGGTGCATTTGTGCAACCAGAGAACGCTAGGCCTTCGGCGACTTCCACAGTAAATTGCAGCAAATCTTTTCCGATGTCGCCCTTCTTTTTCAATTCGCGCTGATACTCTAGCCATGAGCTGCACACTGTCAAATTGAAATAATGGAATATGACGTGTAATCTCCATTTCTTCCAGCGAGCAAAGGAACGATACAGTGCAATCGAAAAATCATTTTTATCGACTCCTCCCACGGAACTGTTGCAATACCGTATGGCCCCGGTCAGACTTCACGCGATTTGATCGTCGCGACTCAATCGCTGACATTTCCATTCATTTTCATTTCAGATTCAGAACTTTCGGGCTGGAAAAGTATCACAACCGAAATGCAAGTTGATCGGCATGGAATGATGTTGTAACAGTTGTCTCGTCGCGATTCAGTCGCGACGATCAAATCGCGTGAAGCCTGCCCGGGGCCTATGACGGAGGGACGTGCGATCATTCTATATTCACCGGCTTTCCTATCCCACGTCTTCACCTCAACTTGCGATCAACTCCCACGAACTTTGACGCGACGCATACCACCTTATTGTCTTACCCGATAATTTTGCCGTCTTCAGTGACGAAAGAGTCAGAACTGCCTCGGCCAAGTTTTTGCAGCTCCTTTTCCGACTTCAAGGGGCACTTTTGCAATCTGTTATTTCGTTTACTCCTGCGCTGAAAATTTCTCGCTCTAACGGTTTGCGTGATAGCAGTGATGTGAAGTTGTCACAGAATAACTTGTGGCCAGGATGATTTGGAATTCGCATTGATAGATAGATGACCAATCTATTTGTAGCAGAATATCCTTCAACCAGATCTTCAGGAAGTGTAGTCGAGCCTTGATATGCAAGCGAGCGATAAATTATGCCAGAAGCACCGCAAAGCATAAATACTCTGACTCCCCACGGGTTCGGTTTGCCTTTCATATATTGTTTGATGGTAAGTTGCCTTTTGAAAGATATGATTGATTTGTCTATGCAGAGGTTCTCTTCTAAATCAGTTGTTCACAACGATCCTTAAATGATGAAATTATGGGACGAACTTTCCATAATTTATCTCGCTGGCGCGTCGGCATTGACATCAACAATATGAAGATTGAATAGTGCGACTTTCAAAAATTCTTGGCATGATAGTAATATTTTGTTCTTTCTTCTTAAGCCATACAAAGCAGTGGTATCAACGCAGAGTACTGACAATACGATTTGCACCCAGTCCGAACCGGTACCTCCACAGCTGAATAGACGAAGTGCTAGACCTCGTTTTTGATCATTAGTTCAGCTGCACGGTCAAGCACGTACCCTCTGGATTACGCCGATACTCCTCTTCAGAGGAAAAGTTGGGTCACGTCGTCCGGTGATAGAGAAAGTTTGACTTGTTAGACGTGCATGCAGACCGCTACTTATATACTACCAGATCAGAATAACTGATCTAGATAAGGAGAGAGTTCATGCGTAATCGCTAAGTTTTCCTATTTTCGGTTCATTCTTGGGTTTCTGGCATGAATCCAGAACGCTTCCAAACACTTACGTGCTTGTGTTTGGGATTCATAGGCCAAGATTCTCATAGAAATCTCAAAGTTTGATCTGATTATATTTGATTATATTCTATTTGATTATATTATATTATATTTGATATTCTATATTATATATATATCTATATTATATGTATATAAATATATTCTATATTATTATATTATATTCTATTTGATCAAATTTTGAGATTTCTGTGAGATTCTTTTCCTATGAATCCCAAACACAAGCACGTAAGTGTTTGGAAGCGTTCTGGATTCACGCCAGAAACCCAAGAATGAACCGAGAAGAGGAAAACTTAGCTTACGCATGAACTCTCTCCTTATCTAGATCAGTTATACTGATCTGGTAGTATATAAGTAGCGGTCTGCATCCACGTCTAACAAGTGGAACTTTCTCCATCACCGGACGACGTGACCCAACTTTTCCTCTGAAAAGGAGTATCGGCGTAATCCAGAGGATACGTGCTTGACCGTGCAGCTGAACTAGTGATCAAAAACGAGGTCTAGCATTTCGTCTGTTCAGCTGTGGAGGTACCGGTTCGGATTGGGTGCAAATCGTATTGTCCCTTACAGGCTCTGACGAAGGCGATCTGCCGAAACGTTAGCCGTGGATTAAATGAATCGATTACCAATCTCGTGTATGGCTTAAGAAGAAAGAAAAATATGAAGATTATTGCGCAAGGACAAGAATTGGGTGCGCAGAAGATCCTGTTTGTCGAAAAATTGAATTCTTGGGCTGGTAACCAATACATTCGTAGACTAGGGTACTGAACAACTCCCATCAGGATATGTGCTTCGACAATCTTCTTGATCTCTTGAACTGATGCGTCGATGAATCTATCACTTGATGTACCAAATACATGCTGTCTTCTCCATCAATTCATCGGGCACGGAATTGGGAAAGTAATTGAAAAAGTACGTAGGAGTCGTTGGGATATCATTTTTCCCTTCAAAACTAACGTCATCGAAAAGTTACGTCTAGAGGTGTGAACTTCTTCCCAGCCCAATTCAAATCCTTCATGTTCACCTCCCGCAACTTCATAGCTATGCAGATAAGCGAATTTCGTCTAATTCTGGAAACTCGCCGTCTTCAATGGCCCGTAGTAAAACTGCCTCATTCGATCTCAACTGAGGAAAGCTTCAGTTGAGGCTTCGACGAGTCACGTCTGCCTCAATCGAGCCATTGATTGATGATTCCAACCATCCACATTGATATGAAGCACGCCACGTTCATGCAAGTATACACAAGTAAAAACCCGTTCGTCAAATATTCACATCCTTGCGATTAATACTAGCGGCGAAGATGTGACCGCACTGCAAGATCTTGTCGAAGATGTCAGCCTGCACATTAACCCCTTACTCAATATGTTCGACATGTAGAACTAACGTGTATCGTAAGTTAGTCAGGAGTAACTCACGGAAATTTTCTCTAAATCTCTTTATTAGCACACTATTTCGAAAGATCATCGCTCGGATCATCTCCGATGACTCGGCAGGGAGATGATCTTTCTGCCAAACTGACCTGAAGCTCACATGTCAGGTGACTTGATTTTTTAGCATGGGGAAGTGGGCGGTCGTCATTTCACCTTACGGAACCTCACATAAAGGCCTCAGGGGAGATCATCTCTCCTGACCGAGCTTAACTACGAGCCACTGTCTTCTTCGATTTCTTCATCTTCGTGCTCCTCTTCATCGCTCTTTTCGAGTTCTCCGAACTCCTCGTCGACATCATCTTCAATGTCGGAGTCGTGAAGAGCTGATGATGCGGCTGCAGCTTCCCTCAAGTGATTTTCTTTGATATGTCTGCTAGGTTTTTGTAGAATCTCGTCGGCGGCCCGCCTTCTGAAAAAAGTCCCATTAAACCCCATTGCCGGCAAATGCGTACTGCAGTTCTGAAGGTTATGGCAAATAGCCAAAACATGTAAACTCACAAACAACCACCACTCATTTCTCTCACAACCTCGTTACTAAACAGTTACAATAGTATCATCCTACTGTAATAATGCTCTAAGGCCGTCTGTTTTTTTGTGTGTCTGTCTGTGTGTCTGTGTGAAAATCTGTCTGTCACGAAATTCGCAGATGGAGTTCCAGCCAAGGAATTGGGCCCATATTTTGCACAAGGCATGCCATCAGCATGTAGGTCCAATATGCCAAAGCACGAGCGGATCCGTTGTGTGGATTTTTTAAAAAATGCGCGTCAATCGGACCCACCTGGCTTTTGGTCCCCAAAATTGGGTCCGTAATTCCACTTTTTGCAGGCTCGTGGATGTTTATGGCAAGTAAATGTGCAAACCATGAACTTAGGTCCAAAACATTAATCAAAAGTCCATTACTTTACAAAAACGGCGCAAAAAGTACTGTTTGCGTAAATGGTCATTTTGCCAAGCTTTTACCAAAGCATTTGATGAGATTTTTGCACCTAAATGTAGCTTATGGTGACTACTGTTCTTATGGCGACTGTCAAGACTGTGGGAAAATCAAAAACGTACAAAATTTTGCTTTGTTCTCCTGCAAAAAAATTTCATCCACGCGAAATCACCGATTTTACATGAAAAAGCTTTCGGAATGAGTAGTTGTTTACATTTTGTTCATGATAGTCGGCATTGTTCGGTGAGTTTCAATGCCATCATTATGCGAGAATGAGTAGGGCCTAGATATTAGAAAAAGTGCGAGCCTCTGCGAAGCAGAGGTGACGCACTGGTAACTTATAATAACGGGCTAAGGGTTGTTTACGTTTGTCTGTGTGTGTGTGTGTGTGTGTGTGTGTGTGTGTGTGTGTGTGTGTGTGTGTGTGTGTGTGTGTGTGTGTGTGTGTGTGTGTGTGTGTGTGTGTGTGTGTGTGTGTGTGTGTGTGTGTGTGTGTGTGTGTGTGTGTGTGTGTGTGTGTGTGTGTGTGTGTGTGTGTGTGTGTGTGTGTGTGTGTGTGTGTGTGTGTGTGTGTGTGTGTGTGTGTGTGTGTGTGTGTGTGTGTGTGTGTGTGTGTGTGTGTGTGTGTGTGTGTGTGTGTGTGTGTGTGTGTGTGTGTGTGTGTGTGTGTGTGTGTGTGTGTGTGTGTGTGTGTGTGTGTGTGTGTGTGTGTGTGTGTGTGTGTGTGTGTGTGTGTGTGTGTGTGTGTGTGTGTGTGTGTGTGTGTGTGTGTGTGTGTGTGTGTGTGTGTGTGTGTGTGTGTGTGTGTGTGTGTGTGTGTGTGTGTGTGTGTGTGTGTGTGTGTGTGTGTGTGTGTGTGTGTGTGTGTGTGTGTGTGTGTGTGTGTGTGTGTGTGTGTGTGTGTGTGTGTGTGTGTGTGTGTGTGTGTGTGTGTGTGTGTGTGTGTGTGTGTGTGTGTGTGTGTGTGTGTGTGTGTGTGTGTGTGTGTGTGTGTGTGTGTGTGTGTGTGTGTGTGTGTGTGTGTGTGTGTGTGTGTGTGTGTGTGTGTGTGTGTGTGTGTGTGTGTGTGTGTGTGTGTGTGTGTGTGTGTGTGTGTGTGTGTGTGTGTGTGTGTGTGTGTGTGTGTGTGTGTGTGTGTGTGTGTGTGTGTGTGTGTGTGTGTGTGTGTGTGTGTGTGTGTGTGTGTGTGTGTGTGTGTGTGTGTGTGTGTGTGTGTGTGTGTGTGTGTGTGTGTGTGTGTGTGTGTGTGTGTGTGTGTGTGTGTGTGTGTGTGTGTGTGTGTGTGTGTGTGTGTGTGTGTGTGTGTGTGTGTGTGTGTGTGTGTGTGTGTGTGTGTGAATCTCTGTCTGTCACGAAATTCGTAGAGCGTGTTCCAGCCAACGTGCTGAGCCCAAATTTTGCATAGCGCACGCTTCCAGCATGAAAGCTCACTATGTAAAAGCATGAGCGGATCCGTTGAGTGGATCCATCGAAAATTGCGCGTCAAACGGATCCACTTGGCTGTGGATCCGTTTGACGCGCAATTTTCGATGGATCCACTCAACGGATCCGCTCATGCTTTTACATAGTGAGCTTTCATGCTGGAAGCGTGCGCTATGCAAAATTTGGGCCTCAGCACGTTGGCTGGAACACGCCAAAAAACATTGCTTTGTAAACGGTCAATTTTTCAAGATTTTACCTGATCATTTGAGAAGATTTTTGCACAGCGATGTAGCCCACTATGTTTATTGTCCTTACGGCGACTACCAAGCCATAAAAATTGCAAAAACCTATTCGAATTTGCATCTGTTCTTCTGGGAGAGATTTTATTCACGCGAAAATACCGATCTCACATGGAAAACCTCTACGAATGAGTAGTTGTTTACGAATTATTCGTGATAGCCTACATAGCGCGGTGAGTTTCAATGTCATTATTATGCGGGAATGAGTAAGGCATACAGAAAATAGGGCCAGTGCAAGCCTCTGCGAAGCAGAGGTGACGCACTAGTTATGAATAAAAACTCAATGTTCTACAAAAAAAATCACACTAATGTGTTTGATTGCCGGTCGAGCGCGATCCATCGTTCCTTCGTGCACGAATGCTTCTGATACTGAGTGCAGAACGGACTGAAATGCGAAAGGACGCGCAGTTAGAAAGCAAGGCCATCTGAAATATGGGGAGCGCCAGAAACATGCTGTACCAGCGTTGCTGCAGTCCTTCAAAGTTAGTGGTGGCAATTTCCACAGCCGGGTCCCAAAGGGTTAGATTAGTTTACGAGTTCAGAATCAAAATCGCTGTCTAGCTAAAGAGAGCTATGCATTTTATCGCTCAGCAGCGAGAAATGGTCGCTCATTAAGTACATGAAAAACAGATTTCGCCCTATTGCTACGCAATATCATCTCCTAAAATTGAGTTTAGAAGAAAATAGCAGATTGACTAGAGCGAATCAAAAGCTGGCCAAAAGATCTCTGCTAAAGGTGCATCCGAGCAGATAAAAGTACACGTTGAAGGAGACTTGCCGAAAAGCTAATCAGGAAATATATCTAAAATTGTAGCTGTAGTGTTGACAATGACATCCATCGGAGTAGTATTGTCTTGCATCATATCACTGCTTTCGCCTTAATACCTACTTGGACAGCAGTCTGCTGGTTGATGCAGGGCGCGCTCTCTTGTTGAAAGTGAATGTAGATAGAACCAGCCGCTCTCTGCCGCTACGTGGCAGGTTCGTCTGGTACTCTATAGTGCGGAAATGTGAAATTTTGCAGAAAGTTTGCCATTTTGCACGAAATACTTCGATTCATAATGCGCGAAAATTTTGACAGTCTATTTTGGTTTAACATTCTAACCAACGAGTATTGCGGAGACTATATAAAATCAATAAACTGATAGCTGCAATCCGTGTCTCCCGAACAAATGGCTTATTGACACACGCCCCACCCGTGCACTGAATCTGCCAAATTTGGTTTAGATTCCATTACTCCTTCTGTCCTTATTGAGCGAACGTAGAAAAGTGGCTAAGTCAAATATACGTAAGTATTGACTGATTATCAGTGTTTTGGTGGTCAAGTTTGGTCCTGTGGATGAACGTCCATTTTCGATGTTGTTGAGTTGAGTTGGTCGGCGGAATTTCAGAATGTGACATATAAAAAATCAACATAATGGTAAAAAAGGCTATTATAGACATTTTACTTGAATTAACCATGCTTAGCTATCTCCATGTATGCAATGTTCCGTTCACCATGATCCTTTCCAGCATTTTAGGCCGGTCATAACAAAGTTGCTAAGCAAAAATCGCAAAAATCAATAAATCTATAGTGTCAATCGATGATTTTCTGTAAAAAAGCTCAGTGGCACCCATATCGCCCCAAAGTTTATGTATGCAAAGTTTCGTTAAAATTCCCTTATCCTTTCTAACATTTTAGGCCGGTAATGACGAAATTGCTTATCCAAATACTATTAGGTTGAACCGAAAGTTTCTTTGCACCAAATTCAAAAAATCATAAGTTCTGAAATCTCCCACCGATTTGACAGCTTTTATTTTTGTATGAAAGTGCAAGTCATGCTCTTTATAATGACATCTTAGCTGCTTGCTAATGGTCATCTGTTGCATGGATAGGAGAGATAAAAGAAAATTGGTCCAAGAATTTTCTGTGTAGGGTCATAAAAAATCGGAAACTTGCAACAAAAATCGGAGCAGTCGGTATTGTAGGTTCTTTCACCAGCTCTTTCTACCTGTGCAAAGTTTGTGCCGATTGAGCGTCTCTATCAAAAGTTATGATTTTCGAGCAAGCAATGGGAAAGGGCGAATATGATTTATTTTGGCATTTTTCAGGGAAATCATAACTTTTTATAGAGACGCTCAATCGGCGCAAACTTTGCACAGTTAGAAGGAGCTGGTAAAAAAACCTACAACACTGACTGCTCCGATTTTAATGCAAGTGTCCGATTTTTTGTGACCTACACAGAAAATTCGAATTTTGACTAGTTTTCTTCTACCGCTCCTATCTATGCAACAGATGTACATTAGCAAGCATCTAAGATGTCAATATGAAGAGCATGACTTGCACTTTCATACAAAAAAAGCAGTCAAATCGGTTGGAGATATGAATTTTTGAATTTGGTGCGAAAAAACTTTCGGTTCAACCTAATATATAGGCATTGGTATTTTGCTCGATATGTGATGAAATTTACGAATTTTATTTCACTAAGGCAGGCGCTATACTCCTCGAGGAGTATAGCATGGCGACGATCGATATGCATCAAATACGTGTAAAATCGGCGATTTTTGTCGCCGATATTGGCGATCGCCAGTCGTAGCGACTAGCGATCGCCCGTGGTAACGACTGGCGATCGCCCGTCGCCATGCTATACTTGAGGAGTATAGCGCCTGCCTAAAGGAGCATTAGCCTTTTAGTGCCATTCGCGATGCCGAACGAGGTGTTTTCCTAAAGAAAATGCATGGAGGTAGGTCTCTGGCATTCAGAAGCTCAAGGATGGGCTCCGGGTAGTTGAATCAGTCTCACCAGCCATTCCTTCACAATCGTGCTCACATCTATGCGAATGGGCATCTAAGGAATAGACTGTTTGTTCTGCTGCAGATACTTCAGCAAAAACTTCAAATTCGTTTAACGCAGTCATTTTGAGTCAGTAAAAACAAGGATGCTTTGTATGTGAGGCTGCTTTTGGCCACATAATTCAGAGCTACGTGCCACTCACTCATACCACTAACAAGGCTGCTTGTAGGTTGGAAGAGAACTTGCCTGTTTCCTGCAAACAATGAACGCCCGCGAGCTAGCGCCTGCAGCTGCCGACTGCATGATTTATTTTCAATATTACTGCGTGAGTCATCAAGCGCTAATTAGCGCTTGATGACTTATGCAGTAGTACTAAAAATAATAAATGCAGTAGTACTAAAAATAATAACAGTATAAGAATAGACGTAAATGATAATTATAATAAGTAATAACAAATAACGTAATATCAAACGTAACCCGTAGGTTACTGTAACAGTAGCGCACCAGACACGCTCGCGGGCATTCAGCTTACAGCGATACGGGCGACATCGTGCAGTTGACCACAAGTGCTTGTCAGTTCTCGTGAGTTCACGTGTGCATGAGTTACTATAAACTACTAACAATAAGTCTTACGAGTTAACAATCTCACCGCGGCACTTGAACGGAAGCTCTCAGTTCAACTTGCGTTCAAGAGCATGGGAGCAGAGCGTTTGTATGTTCAATTCATAAATTTTACTGAGACCGCACCGGACATCTCCAATAATTTGTACTGATAGCGATAAAAGCAACACAAAGGTTCAACTTTTATGCAGGCTGACTTATCGAATACATATCATCACTGAGAGGTATACCAAATGTCATACTTGTTATTAAACTGCAGCACCTAGATTAAGTAATTATCTTTGGCACGCGAGGTAATAGGAGGTCGTTTGAACTGAAAAGTGTGCAGTGCGACTATCAGCAAGCTCATTCGTCATCCATTGAAGATCTGCGCATTACTGGAACAGGAAAGCCGTGCTTAGCGTCCTTTGCAGGCCAGTCGTAGGTCCTGTTTATCAATTCCGTGTATTCGACTGTGTAGACGTGCTGTCGGATAAATAACTCCTGAATGTAATTTTTTACAAAATAATTTGACTTAAGCGCAAAGAAGTGTCCAATAGATTTCAAATGCGAGAATATGCCATAGTCTTACAATTATAACAGTGGTCAACACATACCATATCGTCCGGCTTCGGGTGCAGTGTAGCAAGATTATGGGAGTACAGATATTCGCCAACCTAGAAAAAAATCACAAAATTTCTGGTTGAAGGCGTGCAGAAAAGCTTCATTTGATTCTGTCTGAGAAATGTAGAGGTGGTAGATAAGAGGAAAATTGCTTCCTACAACATTTACAGGCATTCTTACCTCAATCGCGATTTGAATCGACAATTCACGAATGCTTTTGATTCGTGGGAAGAGCCGAGCATACTGATTCAACGACTTTTCCGTAACTGCTTCTGCTACTCGCTGTAATCAATATCTTTATGGACTTTAAAGGACGTATAAGAAAGCAATAGGGGAAAGTTACCCGCGCCGCTAGAAGGAAAAGCTTGTCTGGGATGAGCTTCGCTTTGAACAAAACACATCCCAGTGCGATTCCGGGAAAGATGTAAGCGTTGTTGCCTTGACCAGGTTTGTAGAGTTTACCATTCAGCTCGACGTTGTCGAACGGTGATCCAGATGCGAATAATACGGCACCCTGTCAATAAGTCTCCATTCAGCAATGAACTTCATCATACAACTGAAATAAGTTGAAAAAATTGAAAATGAGTGAGGGGAGTCCAGCTTGAACTTATTTATGGCTGCGGGTTCACTTTTTTGACAAAATCTTCAGGACACAGTACCTTTCTCGAATATTGAACTGCTAAGAAATCATTTTTGTCTACGAAAGCCAAAAACCGTGGAAGAAGTTAAAAATTGTTGTGATCACACCAGTTATAAAATGGATATCACGTGCTAGATGTCATTAAAGATAGTCTGCAGCTAGAAAAAAAGGCAAACTCAAAATTTTTATACTTTCGAGATTTATTCAGCGACTGACCACATGAAATATGGAAGTTTCATCTTTATCTGGTTTGGTTTTCAAGAAATTGATTGCTCTTTAGGAGCACTGAGCTCAAATAGTACAATGGAAAGGATCTGATTTTCTTTCCTCAGGCATTGCATAAACTGAGCCATACGAAAAGCAAATTTGCATCAAAAACGGTGAGTGAGAATTTAGTTAGTACATGAGGTGTATCACGGAAACAGGGCATTCGAAAGAACAAGCGCCTCAACAATTTGTGGTTTATTTTCGAAAACAGCACAAAAACGTTCATTACCAAACTATTCAAGTCTTCTCAAAAATTAAGGCGCAAATGTAGCAGCATCTCGAAAAACTGGACTCGAATTAGATTTCAAGATGCTCCTTTGCTCCAATAAGACCAGCGAAACAAAACAATGAATCATTTTCTCAAAACTCCTGCTATGATGACTGGAACACTTTAAAGAATGGGTACTGTAACTCACATTTGTTACTCGGAATGCAGTTTCGGCAGTACATTCAGCTTTACTCGTAGGGTTTGAAAGAGCAAAGATGATTGGTCTAGTATTTATCCGCGCCATCTCGGCGATAACTTCTTCGCTGAATGCACCAGCCACTGTCGAAGCACCTTAACCTTATTTTGAGAATCAGCAATAGTACTCTTTGGTAACGTTGTACTTACCAATAATAGCTGCGGGCTTCACCGTTTTGACAACTTCCAGAAGGCTCTTCGTATCCGGCAAATCCTAAAGCAATGGCATAATGCAAACATTTTTCGACTTTTGTTTACCTTAGCAAATCGAAGGTGACGATCTGATAGGGTCGAAGCTCGACTTTTCGTGATCAAGCCATCGATATCTATCATAAAGATGTTTTTGCAAGCTTCTTGCTCTGACAAGCCCTCATCCACCATCTGTCGTACGCACATCTCAGCGACTCCGGTAGCCGCCTAAAGTCTAACATTGCCGACTTCTTAGATCGTAAAGTATCGCTTATGAAAACATGCACTCTCTGAAGCGAAAAGATCAAATGTAATCACCGAAATAAAATAAGATTATTCAAATAGCTTCCCCACACCTCAAAGGATTCGCACCCCATTTCAATCTCTTAGCTTTTCAAAATAAAGTGGATTTGTCGCACGCAGAGACAGGACGCGATTGCAGACGTGTCGACATCTCTCTGATCAAGCACACTTTCATCCCTCTTACTGGCTACGTCTCTCTTGAGCCCTATCTTGAGCGGACGCAACGACGCCCAGTCTACGTGCGATGAGTCGCTCTTTTTTCAGGAGATTAAGAGGCAAAGGCATAATAGTTTTTATAGACGATTTGCAGGTTCTAGATTTCTGTATTTTTTGCAAAATTGGAAAATTTATACATTTAAACTTTTGATTACTTATTTTTTTAGTATTTTCGCCAATGCAAACTCCATCAATTGTGAAAGACTAGAAAAATAGTATTTCTCAACACGAATATTTTTAGTCAACTACGAAAAGGCAAACTCAAATGCTTCCGTCATAAAACCGTGCTAATTTTGTTAATTTTTGAGAATTACGAATTGAAGCTTGGACTCACTCCTCCTGCACCAAAGAACACGAATTTCTGCTGCGAAAGCTTCTTCTTCGTAGCCCTAGTTGTGGCCAACAAACCAGCCACCACAACAGAGGCAGTTCCTGTAAATATCTGCATGGGGCAGCAGAATCAAATTCGCAATTTAGAAAACCTTGAATGTCGTCATTGAACATGCAGTATTCGTTCTTATATCTATCTAGAAGGCGGTATGCATTTTGATTCCCAAAGTCTTCGAACTGTATTAGGGTGTCACGACCGAACCTGAGTAAAAATTCTGTAGCTCGTTTACTGCTACAAAGTTATAGTACCTCTTGGTGCATGCTTTCATGAAGTTATCCATCAAAGTGTCGTATTCTGGACCACGAACTCGTGGCCGTCGCAGACCGGTGTAAAAGGGATCATTCAGTAGGCTCTGAACGAGAGGTGAACTAGAATCTTATCCACCGATGTGGTGAAACTCACTTGGTTGTCGGTGCCGACGTCGATCAGCACTGGCAGACACCATTCGGGGTGCAATCCTGCCAAAGCTACGTAGAGGGCGAGTTTACCAACCGGTATTCCGATACCGTATGCACCTAGATCTCCAAGCCCAAGAATCCGCTCACCATCCGTCACCACAATAGCCTAAGAAAAATTATAGCAGCGGTTGAAAAGCGCGGATGCAATGACTGAAAGCTTGAGGACTATGCTCTTGATTTGTGAAAATAAAGTTGGATTCTCACCGCTTTTCACAAGCTTGAATGATTACTACAAAATCCGAAACTTGTTGGCCAGATCATACTGTTTAGGCGGGTTTTTAAAAACTTTTTTTGCCTTGGCATTCAAAACACTGCTGAGCAAGCCTTTTTTCGGGCCTTTTCCAGTGAATCCGTGCATCGTCAATTTTCATGTCATTCTAAAAAATTCTTTCAGGGCTTTCGACTGACACACAACAAGCCCTCTCTTCAGAATTCTGAAAACCAAAATCCAAGCTTTTGGCGGGCTTACCTGAACGGACTCTACTAGATTTTGGGGTAGATAAGTCGTTCGTGAAAATTTTTGAGCCGCACTCACATTCACTAGGAAGTAAACCACAATAATCACCTGAATATTTGTAGCTGGCCAATTTGCAAGTATCTGATAAATTTTACTGATGGAGTTGTCGTTGATTGTGATATATAAGCCTCTGAAATGATAGTCTGATTCGCTGGATCCATGGAAAATCAACTTCATGACACACTTCGGATTTCGATAGATGAAGCCGAATTTCTGGCATGCTTGTCCTACAGTTGGAGTGTAAACAATTGGCATTAACTCCTTTATATTGTCGCACAATACCCGATAAAAAAGCTTTTCATTGCGGTCTTGCAAACTATCCAGTTGGACATACCTAAAATACAAAATTCAACAGCATTTGTGAGTTTTGCCAAGACTGCGTCCACTGATGCTTGTGCCAGCGCCATGCGCGCCGTACCAGAACTGTGCCAGAGAGATCATCTGATCAATATGCAATGCGTCCATGTGGGCTCCAGCACAGCAATAGCACAGCGCCGACACGGTGCCGGCACACGGACAACTCCGAACGCAGCCTGAAGACGTTGCGAAAACTGACTTAGCAAGGTCGTTTGGCTGCTCTCTTAATTTGCTCATGACACGAAATGCTTGCTGCTCGGCTGTCATAAAAGCTGGTGGGAGAAGACCATGAATACCAAGGTATTGTCGCTCATAGAGTGAGAATGCCATTCCCTGCAAAACAAAGGAACTCTAATAGAGAAGGGAAACTCATGATTTTACCTTGTTTAGTCTCGGAGTTTTCAACAGCTCCAGCCCTCTCTTCGCTGGGGTTACTCGTTCTGGCCGATACAGTTTGTGCAGAGCCAACTGTTTTGGATCGGAGAGGTCTATTTCATGTCCATCGCGCAACAGACGTGTGGTGCTAAGTGTCCGTGAGCTGCAAGTAAGGGCATCACTAGATCAAAGGCAGCACCAAACCACGCTCCTTAGATAACTATGTACAACACCGCTAGTAATTTGTGGAAAAAAGCGTGATAACACTTAACGTGGCCATATCACGCTTGAGAGTGGATGGGTTCTTAATCCAAGGGCACCTTTCGACTCAGCTCAGCGCGTCGCATTTTCTGATATATAGGAAGACACAGCAGGGGGTCAGATTCCATGAGTTCAGCTTTTTGCTAGGGGAAGATTAATTAGTGTGTTTAGTACACACACCGGGCAACCTACCATAAGCAAAAATCTGAAACGATTCGTGGATGGCCTCCTACTGTGTCCAAACAGGCACTTCTATACAACAGAAGATGCGCCGTCCCGAGATGAGTCGGATGGTGCCCTTGTTTAAGAATTTGTCCCTATGGAGCGAGATATGGTCACCTACGGTGATGTCACATGAATCGGGTGACTATGCGTTTTTTTACGAATTACAGCGGTACCGTGATCGACGGCTTTATAAGCAGCTACACCGGATTAATCTTATGTCCCTAAAGAAGAAAATACCTATAATCGCGAAAATCATTGTAACCTTCGCCTGTCGAACTTGAACCGCCCATTCAAGAGGATCGCGTGACTGTTTTGACACGGCAAGCATGTTCGAGACGCGCATTAGGGACCGGGAGGTGGGCGCAGTTCCCCCTCCCCTCAATGGGTTGCGAAAAAAGTTACCTACATGAGTTATAAAACTGCGCAAGGGAATTGTTCCTATTGCAAATAATCAGAATAGTCGTAGAGAATTCGAATTAGCCATTTAGCCTAATGAAATTCAGGAGGCACTGCTACCGCCTGGGTTTATAGGCTTACCTAAAGTTAAGAAGCAACCGCATTTTCTCGGAAAGCGTCGTTAATGCCACTCATTCAAAAAAATTTTGTCTCCATCCCCCCGCTCAAAATCCAAACAAAATCCCTCGGACTGCCACTGCTATCTGATGTGCCTCTGTCGCAGATGGCTGAATTTCTTGTTGTAGACTATGGTGCTAGCGTCTGTAACAAATATTTGCTCAGCATCGATAAAAGTTCAAAAATATAGAATACTAGCTGGCTTACCGCCGTATGTTCCAAATAGAAAATTCCATTTCTCAACCGATCCGGACCAAACTTGGCACACATACACTTCGGGCCTCGGCGGGTGTCACAGTCCACTTTTCGCTATCGATCGATGTCGATTTTATCGATTTTTATCGATTTTTTTGCAGGGTTCACCTACGGGGCTGGGAGTTGGCACGGGGGGGGGGGGGAATCGAGCATGGGGATTCCGAATACAATATTAGTTTTCAGGATTATCGAGCATGCTGATCACCCCCCACGGGGGTGATCAGCATGCTCGATTACACCCCTCTGCCAAATTCCAGCCCCCTAGCTCAAATTTTGCAAAAAAATCGATAAAATCGACATCGATCGATGACGAAAAGTATCGGCGATTCATAACATGCAAAGACTGGAAGCCGTTGCGTCCGACCAAGACACATGCATGGGAGAGACAGCAGATGGTAAGAGAAACGAAAGAGCGCTTGGTCAGAGAGACGCCGATATGTCCGCAGTCTTTGCGTGCGATGAATCGCCTATAGCCTATGACAGCCGGGGCCCGAAGTGTATGTGTGCTAAGTTTGGTCCCGATCGGTTCAGATATGGAATTTTCTATTCGGAACATACGTACATACAGACATACAGACATACAGACAGACATACAGACAGACAAACAGATATTCAGCTTTATATATAAGATTTTTTGTATGAAGCAAAGTTTTGTCTTTTGAAGAAATTCCAGATTCGCCCGAGAACTTTCTTCGCAACGTGATAAATATTTTTCAGCTTCAAATCTCCGGTCGCTTGGCAGAATCTTGGCAAAAATTCAGATATGTACTGGCACTTTCAGGATACACTATATCGCGGAGGATCGGATGTGCTATAAAAGGTCTCTTATCGAAATTGAACAGTCTACACTGTTTTGAGTGGAAAGTCTTGACATATCCCTGGATCAGTTTCTTAATTTAGACTAGCACGAGAGTAATATTAGATCGTTCCAAAAGTAATGCCTTCAAGTGTGCATTACGTCCTGCAAAACAAACATCCTCGGAGATTTCGGCGCATCCAATGCAGCCTTTTATCCTCCTTCAAAGGGTTGTATTACTATTGCAATATAACAAACAAGCTCTCAAAAAAATCAAAACCTACAACCCATGGTTTTTGTCATGGCAAAGTTTCGCTAGTTTTATAAGTTTTTATATCAGTCCTCCGAAGATGATTCACAAGATCTTTTGAACATTTAGATATAACTAAGCCTACACGATACGGAACAATTTTTTTCTTTTCTACTTGCTTTTTACAGTTCCAAAATTACCTTTTGATGCTAAGAAATTCCATTATGGCCAACTCAAACATCATAGAACATTAATCGGCAAGAAACTCGGGTATCGTTTAATACAGCTTTTTCTACTCTTTCTGAAAGCATTCTTTTTTTTCAATCCATAGAGTCTTCGGGGTAAAATCACCATAGACCACAATCTCAAGCTCTCCCATGCCGCAACGGGGAAACAATAATACGCTCATTCGGTTTGTAAAATTAGTGGTGATTCATAATCTAATTCTGGAAATTCGAAGATTTGTTGGTGTTCGACGCGTTTGTTTCTGATGGCTTGTTAAAATGCGAATGTTTCAATAAAAATCTACGAGAGAAAAATGACGAGCTATGGAAAAGAGAAAAAAATTGTCTGTATCCTATAAGGTTTGCTTTATCCATGCGTTACTTGGACTGCTTAGAGGAGTTGATATAAAATTTTTGAGAACTAGCGAAACTTGACATTGGCAAAAACTATGGGTCATAGTTTTCATTCTGAGAAAGTTCTTGGTTGAACTATTATAAAATGATGAAACATTCATTTGAAAGAGGATGTGCTACATCGAAAATACCCAAGATCTTTTGAGAATCTATGTATGAGATGTTACGCTCGCTTGAAAAAAAGCGTTTACATCAATTATAAAATGCTGATTCTCTCAAAAATATGGCACTGGTAGGTGAAAATCAACATGAAAGAGCCCGTAACTAACCTTTGCTGCTGCACAGAACGAAGCATCACGATTTGCGCTTTGCTGGAAATTCAATTGTAGATACGAGCACATAACCGACGAGCACGAAGACATATGGATAACACGAACTGTGGAAACCTGGCTCTGGAAAGGAATGAACCGGAGATGTGGACAAAAGATCCATTGGAACGAAATTCGATTGTGTTCAAAAAGAGACAAATGAAAATGAGGAAATGTCGAAAATATTTCGCTGACTGAGAAGACACGAAGCGAGGATGAGATGTGAGGAGGAGGGTATAAATCGTTCTCAATGAAAAAACCAGTTCTATTGCAACCTCAAAAGAAAAGTGCAAGGACAAAGAGGACGAGCAAATATTTCTTGTAAAGCTCCGCAAAATTTGTTCGCGTTCACACAGAAATCAGAAGACAGACTCACGGAAGTCATTATAACATGATAAGTTAAAAATCAGATGATTCCTTTTTTCCGTGATGTGTACAAGAGTAGGCTGCAAGGTGACAAGCGCCATTCTTAATTCGGTACAGCGCACAACTTGTTGCTGTTCTGCCTAGCCTAAGCAAAGTCTGCGAAAACCATTGCTTGGTTACAACGAAGAGTAATAGAACCAAAAAATTAGTGAAACTTGACCCATGCAAAGTCCATGAGTCGTAGTTTATGGTCATTTTAACAGGCTCATTCGTGAATCTGGACTGAAAGAAACATTTTGAAAAAAGGATCATAAGGTGCATCGAATGTGCCCAGATTCTTTGAAGGAACTTTGTTTACGAGATGTTACGCTCTGAAAAAGCAAAATTACTTTCGTAACGACCTAATATATTTAACAACGACAATTACAATAAATTACGTTGGAAGCTTAAAAATATCGCCGCCGACAACTGATTATGTAGAATAGCTAGTTAGTAAAATTATAGGATGGAACAAATCGAGCTAAGATTTGCACTACTGTAGAAAAATCTTCAGGAAATGCATGCTGCACTTAATAACACGCAAAAGTTCTTCACCTAGACAATTGGTGACGTTTTCCGTAAAAAATCATATACACAAAAGCCCATCAGGTGATGTACCCTGGATATGAATGCGGTTGAAACGAATCAATTGCTACAAGCAATTCTACCAAGTAAGCTGCTTTACAGCCCAACAAACTCAAAAGTCAGTTCTTCATGAAAAGTCTAAAACCAACCCACATAACACCAAGTTTGCGCTTCTTGCATCCAAGTTATAGTCAAGAAAAAAAGGCCACCCAAGGCTTGCTAAACTAGTCGGAAGCTACTGAAAAAGCTCACTCAAATTATTTCAAAGGAACGACTCGCAAATGCAACAGCAAAAAAGGATAAAGCATTAGCAGTAAAATGATGGGGAGATCCAAAAATCCCACAAAAAAAGAGGTTTGGCAAATTAGCTATATATTCTCGAAGAAAGGTAATTTGATTAGGAGCTTTTGATCAAAATGAGCATGGTCATTCTACTCTTTTTTGTGAGATGTACATCGTTCTGAAGACACAACTACAGGCTATTTATCGAAAAAAAATTCTCGATAAAGCTAATTGGAAGTTCTGAATTTCAAAAACTTATTTCAGTTGTTAGCAAATGAAAAGAATTCACTTGCACAATTTTTACTCACAATATTTTTCATGGATTTCGCGACCTTCGGTCTGCCACTAGGGTGGTTTAGAGGTAGTGAACGGAGCAGAGCTCCAGAATACTCAAATGTCGAAAATCAAAGTATATCGCAATAGGCGTATTTTCGTTCCTAAGTATTTCTTGGAGTTTGACGTTGCTCAGCACTGACTACCCATGTTGACGGGGGTACCGACATGTGCTGCATCACTGACCTATTTCTTGCTTTGGAATTTTTGACTTCTGCAGCCGGACTAGGGCAAATTATTATTAGTGGCCTTGTTAGGATATCGCATCAAAATCTCACCGCCTCCAGTTAGGTTAGACGCGCCTTCTAACAACGTAAAAAGCTAAATGACCAACACATCTACAGGCTGTTAGGACCTACAGCGGAGTAGAATTGTCGGTAGATATGGTGCCCCTACAGTGCCGAGAAGTGCAGTAAAATCTGCGCGTGAAAAATAGCTATACGCCGCCAATGCCGCCATTTTGCGCGCGCAAATGACCGGCACAATAGGCATCGCTATTTCTTCACGCGCAAAATTTACGCAACTTCTCGGCACCGCAAGCGCACTGTCTACCGATAGATCTACTCGACTGTAATTTTCATTGCCTTGTATATGATGCGCGCAAGCGGTTGGAAAAGCGCTACGTTTCCAGGACGCAGTGAACCGCATCAAGAAATTTTTATCCTCTTTTTGGGTTTACCTACTTCTATTGTGATCATGAGTAGTAAAATTACGAGCATCACAGAATTTTTGAACAAGGATGATCGTCAGTTCGCGACAACTGCTTACTCATGTTGTTGTACAAGGCACTTCGCGGGCACTTAATTCCTACACAGACTGTGTCTAGCAACTCGGCAACAATGATCGGCATGGATCTCCCTGGTAACGAAGATAAAGCCAATCTAAACCTTTACCTAGAGCCACCGTAATTAGCAGAAGTACTTCTGTGTGCATGCTATCAGGTTGCCTAAAAAATAAGTTCGGTCGGTTTGTAGAAATGTCATAAATCAGTTCTTGGGTGTATATAAGATACCATTAGAAAAAGCAAACCAAGGGGAATCGGATGGTTAACCCCGTTTCCTCAAAAATTATGTTTCTTAACGAAATGAAGCAGGAAAGAAGAATCTTCAGATTTTTTTCCTCGAATTCACGCAAAATCAAGCTCCAAAGAACAAACTGAAGTTAGGTACAAAATGTAGATATGGTACCCACACAACAACAATGGTCAAATTCGAGTAATCTGGATTGTAAAATTTGACTTCCAGGAATGCCTAAAAATTATCGATTTTTGGCTGCAGAAATTCACATACAGCAGGCCACAATCTCCATTGTGGTTCGCCACCTAGCCAAAAACTGTATGTGCATACATATATCCAACCACCAAAATACTCACCTATGTGCTCAATACAGGCGGAGACGAAGGCTGGGAAATCAGAGAAGCTATTTTTTAGAAGTTTGACCATATAGGGCATAACTGTCATTTTCTGCCAACGAAAAATCTTGACTACTTGATATTTGAGAGCAGAGGCTTGTGTTATTTTCTCACAAAAAATCTTAGCTGAATAGCTGCTACGTGGATTGTTATAAAGCTTGAATTTGCATTTCAAAACAAACTTATTTTTTAGCCAACCTAATATTTACTCTCTTGTTTCAGTGTCTTTTGCCGATCTTTTGGTACCTCTCTGTAGAGAGAGCTTCCTTGAGATTTACAGTGAAAAGCAAATCATCAATCGCTCTTCATTACTGTGGGATTACGGTATGGAGTTCCAGCATATAGGAAAATTGAGAATCTCAAAAAATTTGCAAAATTGTGTATCAGGATTTTCACGCATGCTGATTTCGATACACAACTTTCTGCGAGTGTTTTCAGCTACTTTGACGGCATCATCGAATTTCTCGCAAATGTTTGGAAAACAGTTGCTACGGTTTACCTGGATCCTAGGAAAGAAGCATACAGCGAAGTGGAAACTTCATATTCAAAATCAGCGACTTCTACTAGATTAGTATGAGCTTTTGGCTAGGTTTCAGTGAAGCAAAATATGGCTCTCGATGGCCTAAAATCCTTGTCAAAGTTATTACCGTCGTCCTATAGTAATATAAAGATATAAATTCGCTCCATACTGTCAATCTGCTGAAGCCCGCTCTACAGAATGGTACCAAAAGTCGGCAAAAGACTTTAAAGCAAGAGAGTTATTAATTAATAAGCAGTGTGCACATTTTTTGGGACACCTTGTAATCAAAAAATAAGGTCATCATAGGCAACAAGATTAGTATGAAGGAGAGATGTGGTAAACACGATCTATAACAAGAGCTTGAAAAGAAAGTTCATTTCCACTTTGCAAACAAATTTTCAGAGAAGTTGAAGTTCAACAAAACATTGAGAGTCTCATTGTGTTCTTTGATCTCTTGTGTAATGGCCATCAAACAAACTGCAGCAGAGCGAGAGTGATCGCCTGACGCCGCGCCTGCAGACGACACAACGTGACGTAATTAGACTCCAGTGCAATCACTAGTTTCACTGGAAGTAAAAGAACAGCAGGGCTGCAAATCGTAACACAAGGAAGTTCCCCAACTGCGGTTGTAGAAGAATGGTTTTTTTCTATTTTGTGCCGTAAACTTTAGTCTCTGCCTTACAATTATAAGGGAGAAGAAGAGCCAAAAATTGTTCTGAATCATTAACTTCACAGTTCAGACAGCTATGAGAATAAAAATGGTTACAGTACGATTTCTCTTCAAATAAAGTAATGCCCAATTAAGGGCGCAAACAAGCAGTACCTAGATTCACCTCATCTAGCATCACATAATATCAAATGGCATACTTTTCAAAACATTCATATGGCATATGTTACAGAAGCGGGTTCGCATAGTAAACTGAAAGATCGTATCCACAGGTCAGACAAATTTGGCTGAGACAAGGAAAGAAGAACATCAGTGGCTACCGTTTCGAGCTGCAGCAATAAATAAATAAACAAAACAACAACGATATACTGGGTGCGGAAAGACGTATTACGCATAAGTGTCACTGGGATGTCAAATGAAGCCGAATGTCTGGCGCATCCTGCGTATATCGACGCGCAGACCATTGTTTGCCAGAAACACAGGGCTAACCCAGTTTCATATCTCCGGTAAAAGAAAAGAAGCAAACGAATCAATGGAATTCAGTAAAAGTAATCATATAAATTACATTTGTACGTTGTTTTTCAACAGTGAATGCTTTTTGGGATAAAACTGAAGAAGTCTTATTGACAACGTTTTATTACTAAAACTCATAAAAGTACTTTTTAAATAAATTTGCTTTTTTCCATTAATTTTAGATGAACTCATTGAGTAAAGCTGCTCATCGCTGCGGAACTTACAAAAAAAAATGGAGTCACACAGTAATTATAAAGAGGCCAAAATGACTTGTCAAACAAATAACCTTTCAAGTTATTTTTCAATCCTCAAAGTACGAAAACTTCAGAATAAAGTGTGATAGTTTGAGAAAAACTTCATGGACTAAGTAATCAAAGTCCAACGTTGATAATAATGAACTCGTTGGAATCATGTACTCAAGCTTCAATTGCACCTAGCAAAACCGCTGATAATTTCTGAGCACATTAGAGTCATCAACAAAAATGATCTGATCAAAAGTTCAAAATGCAAATCTGCAGGCAGACCAAACATCATACTTCCGCGTATAAGCTGATAAGCCTCCTATCAGCTGATAATTCCCAAGAAACCTGGCAATGCCAGCAAAGGTGGTAAGCGAAGGAAGGAATACGTTAGAGTATGGTTATCTATTCTAGTGGGAAAGGCAAGTGAACCAATCATCTGAAACACCATTGACGAAGTCATTTCTATTTAGTTAGAGAATCATTTCAGCAAATGAGTTTCCATTTTAGAATGTTTGGAAAAGGCAAAATAAACCAGAAAAAAACTGGAGGAGACAAATCCCAGCATTTGGAAAAAAAATCAAAACGTGATCACATAGAGTAAAATGAAGTTAAAAAGTGTAGTGTGGTGAATCGTACCCACTCCATAATGGGGTTGAAATGTTGTTGACAATATATTATGAATGTACCCTCAATTCAATACATGTGTTCAATCAATAATTTTATGCAACTTGACAAGAATGACAAATCTATGGCTCTAATTTCGATTGCGGAGAGTCAAGCTAACTTTACTTAGAAAATGTGACTCCAACATAGAAAAGTCTAGTAAGAAAGCAAAACAGCAAAAACACAGCAATGTTCATTGCCATGCTAAACCCGCAGTGAAGTGCCTGATGAGATACAGGAACAAGGAAACATACAGTCTGCGACTATATATCGCATTCTGAAATCAATTAAACACCTGTTATACAAGTGCAACAATTCGGACTAAATCAGTGGAAGGACAAGGATAGGTGACTATTGATGCCTAGTGAGAAACTGTGCCTAAGTAAAGCTTGTAACTCCGTAGCTTGATCTGTTTCCGCAATCAGTCTAATCAAACTTCCGCAATCTCCTCCGCACTTCTTGAGGCACCGCATCCGCCTCTCCATAGATATCGGACCTGGGAAGCCGCGCAGAAGTCCCATCACGGAACACAACGGTGTACTCCACAACTTTCATCGTACATCTGTAGTAGCCGTCGTACAGTTCACCATCATTCCAGCGCACTTTTACCTGAAAGTAGTATCTTCTCCAGCTTCGGTGATAAGAAATGGATAATGAATATATACAGGGTGTCCCAAAAAGATGTGCACACTGTTTGATTGTTAATAGCTCTCTTGCTTTCATGTCTTTTGCCAGGCTTGAGGTACCATTCTTTAGAGCGAGGTTTAACTTAGATCTACAGTATGGAGCGGATCGTCGATCGCTCTTTATTACTGTAGGATTACGGTAGGAATTTCGAGGAGGATTTTAAGCCATTGAAAGCGGTATTTTGCTTCAAGAAAAAAGCCAAACAAGCCAGAAACTCTTGAACTGGGTCAATCGAAGTTGCTGATTCTAAATATGAAAAGTTCACATCAGTACATTGCTTCTTTCGCTAGTTATTTCAGATTTAGGGTAATAACTGATTTTCCAGTGTTGGTCAGAAATGTGAATACGCTAACAAGAAAGCCCAAAAAACTGGTGGAAAGTTATGTAGTGAAATCAGCACGTCTGAAAACCTTGCTACACAAATTCTCAGATTTTTTCGAAATTATTTCGTCAAAAGGCTTATTCCGCAGTGACCTTGTATGCTGAAAGTTCCTACAGTGATCCTACAGTAACGATGAGTGATTGGTAATTCGCTCCATACTGTAAATCTAAGTTTATCCTCGCTCTACAGAATGGTGCCTCAAGCTCGGCAAAAGACATGAAAGCAAGAGAGTTATTAACGATCAAACAGTGTGCACATCTTTTTAGGACACTCTGTATATTCATATAGTTGATCTTTGGTAACGTTAAGTTCGTAAATGAACCACAATGCTCAGCATAAGGGTTCAACCACGTATAAAGGCACTGCCCACTCAAACTGAGGACGGTGAGATTTAGATGGGATACGACAGCGGGGCTTTAACTGATTGCCCGAGTCCAGCTGCAAAGGTGAATCCAACCGCGAGAAAATCGCTCCAGAATTTAAAAGCGGCGGTGGTCGCTCTCCCCACCAACGTGGATGGTCTGAAAGTACATGTCCATTAGGCCTGAATGTGTCCAAATTGTTGAAAATCTGCCCTTCATTATAATTACCAGACTTCCGACAGTTTTGGAATTTGAGCTCAATTTTGAAATGGAATTCCAAAACACCCATGCTGATGGAGCGACCACCTTCGCCTCTACGATTTAGAGCAATTTTTCTCGCGTTGAATCATCTTTTGCAGCATAACTTAGGCGTTAACTAGTTAGGAGTCCCGCTATTGTATCAAAGCAAGATTTCATCACCCTCAACTCAGGTGGAAAGTGCAGTGACTTTTCCTGCAACGTGTTGCTTTGCATGCACTTTATCAATTCTGCCGCATCGCACTGGTATGGGCACCCTAAACTCAGCCACAGCATGCCCACCAACACAATACAGACAATAAAAATAAAGTCCTCCACTCTAAGGGAGCCGTACACAGTTCATCGATACAGCCCGACAGGCTAGATATTCCGAGCAGGAAAAAAACTGCGACAAAGTTTTGGTCTATAGATGACGGCAATGAACTAAAACATACCCTGCTGCCAGGCTGATGTTGACCATCTGAGCATCTTTTTCGCCTTATGCAACTGCATAGAACAATATCGCTGGCTAGTGCATTATCCGACACAGATCCGTCTTCGAAGTCAACCGTTAGCAGAGTTCGAAGAACAAGCCGTTCTACCGTGCCTTGACGGACACAAGCGCCACCATCTATCCAAGCTATTACTGTATCGCCGAGATCAACATCCATCAAAGGTCCATCTAAACACAATGACATTCTCGCTATAATGGGATGGATAAAGACCACATGAAATAAGACCTATACCGGTTTTACATAAACCTAAACATAAATGTCTCGATGCGCAGCTATAGCAACTTCGCCTATTGAAAAGCTTTAGATAATTGAGGCTTGAAATTAGCTATACAAGTAACGATTTTCTACTACTACTGCGAATCAGCGTGTTCAACGAAAAAAGGAGTGCAAAATGCAACAAGATGTTTGAAGTGTCACAACAGTTCTGGAAAGTAACCAACAAAAACTTATGCAGGTATTCATCTTGCAAGCTTTGTCTTTCGATATGTAAACTAGAAAACGAACCTTCACATTTCTGATGCCTATCACAAACCATCGCCGTGATTTGTGGGTAGTTTCGACGTTCGAACAAGAAGCCAGCTTGTCGGGCACATGTAACGTGCGCCAAAATCGGATCTTCATCCTTTAACGTTCAAACTAAGCTTGAGTCTCATGATATGCTTAGATATCAGAGTCGATTTACACTCACTTCATCACAAGCAGAACACCTGACAAGACCTTCGCGACTAATTCCGCATAAATCACACTGATAACGCGAAGATTCGTAAACATCGCCCATCGCTAGGACGTACTCCCGCGGAAGGTATTTTCTATGTGAAACTATCAACAGTGTACTCAAAACAGATTATATTGACATACAAGATTCCATTGGGGGATGTCTGCTTCGGTGGAGGATGGGTGTAGCAACACGTTGGGCTGCCCGCATCATTAAAAACCGTGCGACTGCAAAGGTGGTAAGAGAAAGTTGAAGATAGCTAAGTGAGAAAAAATAAAATGGACATGCGACATCAACATTTTGTACTCGTACTCTACTTGCTGGGCGCAGGAGAACTTACCGATTGAAGATGGCACAAATCGTGTGTACGAAAGCGGAGATGTCTGCACCTGCTCGACATGGAAGCAATGCGCCTCCTCTCAATTCGCATAAGTGACAAGATCTTCCACGAATTGCAACATCGTCAAAGTCTCTACAGCGCAAACATCGCCACTCATCTGTAAAAACCTCACTTCTTTGCTCGTCTCAGCGCTGCTAGTAAGCTCAAAAGCCAATTCATAGTCAACGTAACACAAAATTCACTAGAGGCTAATCACTGCGCAGTCATGTTGACAAACGCAATATTCATGTACCAGATCGTTAGCCACGTAATTTCTCGGTAAGATGAAAATTAAGTAAACAATCTATAGCAAGAAAATGATGATCGTAGTATGGCGACGCTACCAAGAAGAGTTAATTGCGAGTCACATCTCACTGCATTGGGTTACAAATGCAAGAGGAAATATAACTCAAAAAAATTGTTTACAAAAACACTGCAGATCATACGAAAGGATAGTGCCAGAATAAGGTGCAAACAAAGAGCATATTCATATGTACCTGTAAAATTAGTGGGTCCACCATAACATGACGGATGTACAGTCACTCCACAGTTTGAGCAAGTTATAAGCATATCCTCCGACAAGTCCACCGCAGGTAGTCTACGTTCATCTTTAGCAAAACAAAATCCAAAAGTGAGTCTAGCAGATCTGGAAAAATGATGTTCATTGAATGAAGATCAGACACTTTATGCTTACTTGCGTGGGATCTCTCTGGAAAAAGACGACATGTGAAGTGGTTGAAAGTACTGGCAAACAGCACAATGTGGCCACGAACGAGCAGCCGACTGGTTGAAAGCTTTCTCCGCAAAGAAGTTGACAGACTCATTCGCCCATAATAAGGCTCAAAATTACATTTAGAATACAAGCGAGTTGTCCATATATGAGTTACCGAAACCAGCAACCAGCAAGTTCACTATCACATTATAAATACATACAGTTAAAAAAAACTTGCCTCATCAAGAGAGGCAGCATTACAGTGGCAAAAAAACATAGACAACGAAAAAAGAAGTCAAACTAACATATATTGTTTTTCCAAGAAGCTCGCAGAATAGATGGGGACAGCTGCGACGGAGGCAACGGCGTGTGTAAAGAGATGAACTCATCGGAAGACGACGAGCCTCCTGTAAGGCTATGATGAAAACACTATCTAATAAAATTTTGGGATTAGAACTGGCTACTGATATTGTGTAATGACTCTTAACTAATAAATGCAAACTGAGCGCAAATCTACCAGTAAAATCGTCATCGGTTCTACGCCGCCTTTTCCTATAGGAGGTTGAATGTCTTGTATGTCTAATGGTACCATATTCGTCTTTCCTCCTTTTTCCTAAATACATCATGCCATCGAAAGAAATGTGCTACACTACTTTGCTTCCACATACTGCACTGAGCGCTATCGAAGCATGGGGTTGCCTTAGGCATATACCAATAAGAGTACCACTTTTCAAAATCATCCCGACGATATTTCTGCATGTAGGGCTAGAAACAGCGCATAAGAAAAAGATTTGTACAACGTGAAAATCGGATGCGCACCGTCATATCAATTTCTACCGTGTCTGAACGGCATTTACACAGAACAGCATTCTTTCCGAAATCTATCCAACGATCTGTAGCAAAATTCGTGCTTTCCGCAATGTTGTAACCCAAATTAAAACCCATATGATAACCCTAAAAATACAGTATGTTACTAAATGAATGGCTGTGGAAATAAGCCCTTACATGAGGGAATGTAATGATGAACTCATTAGGATGCTGCATCATCGTCCCATAAGGAATCCTGTGCATATCCAAGAGAGTCGGAAGTACGGAGAAACTCTTGTGTCTCATGAAAGCCTAAGCACATAGTACCAAAGTGAAATCACCAGGTAGCTATTTATAATACCCACTTTACAGTGGCGATCGTATGTAGGAAACTGCTGCCGCATGAGCCTTTCGAAGCGAGTTGCAGCTTCCGGAGGTACGGCGAACCAGTACTAGAATTCCAATGCCGCGCAGATGTATACTAACAGGAAAAAATTACCAACTTTTGGGGCTCCATAATGAAGATAATTAATGGAGTAAAGCTCCATATCTTCCACATGCCATGCAAAAGATGCTCCATACATACCGAAGTAAAGATAGACAGTGGTAACTCCTCTAATCTCCTGAAAAAAAACTATAGTATTTATCAGAAAAAAAGATCTTTGATCACAAAACAAACTTTTCCTCCGGTGAGCTCTTTGGTTTCATCCAAAATGGTCCCAAGCCTCTTCATATTGAATTCTGGTACGTTCTCATCATAGAATGATCCCTCTGTGTCAGCACCATAGATGGGATGAGAGTTGACCATGGTTTTGAAGTAATAGCTGTAACATATTACTTTGCGCAAAACAAAAAGAACCTGCCAGTGACGCGATTTGGTGATGATAACTCAGGTGGTGTCATACCAGTGACGCGATTTCATCTACGCGATGTGCACAGCCGCCGCAAACGAGCTAGAGTGTATACACGATTCATGACACGCAAAGACTGGGAGCCGTTGCGTCCGACAAAGATAGTTCTTGCATGGGAGAGACAGCAAATGGTGAGAAAAACGAAAGAGCGCTCGAGGGAGAGACGCCGAAAGGTCCGCAGTCTTTGCGTGCTATGAATTGCCTAGATGTGGATGGAGGAACGATTTCTCAGATAGGCCCTGGCCAGACTTCGCTCAAAAGCGTCCAAAAGCGCGCAGTCTCTCTAATCCCTCTTCACCTACTCTATTTCTCCTCACACAAGAAAATGAAGAGAGGTTAGAAATATTGGCGCTTCTGAGCGAAGTCTGGCCGGGGCCATGGGGGCATCTCCGCAGAGTATCGGTCCTTTCGAGATGTTACCGCATACCGCGTAAGGACCAATAGCCCTCACATGGCAAATAGCATGACGACCGATAAATCCGCAGCTGCACTCTATGGCGGTACTTGCACCACGAAAGGATCGCACGATATATGCGGCGTTCCATTGAAACGCGGACCACAAACTTGACACCACCCAAAGAAAAGTCTAGTCAGATTTATAACTCAATTGATATCCTATGGGTGATAAGTCTGAACAGCTTGCTGCTCGTAAGAATTGATCTTTTGAAGTAGGACAATGTCATGTGCTCTATTTGATCTTCCACTACAGCCGCTTCGCTGTTGTTCAAATCAGTAAACTGACCAATCGCGAAAAATGAAGTGGACATCCGCTATTGGCCAATATTGATCTGGCCAATGGCGTCAGGGTGGAGTGGATTAAGTATGACGTGTGCCAAAAAATCGAAGCGCCAATCATGCAATCGTCAATCAGGTGAACTTGCCACGCCCATTTGAGCGAAGTGACTATCCATCTTCGACATGTCCCACTCCTTCACATTTACAGGGCTTACCAATTGCGAAGTGAGTTGCACCACCATCTCCACCCTAGCACGACCGCCTCGCTTGGATTCTGCAATTCTTTTGCAAAGATGCTATCCAATCATTTTCGCACGCTCAATTAGCAACTGAAGCTCCGCCTCTCCCACGTTCGTAGTGAGGGAGGGATAAGAGAGCATGTTGAGGAAGAGTTGCAGGGTTTAGGCGAAGCGGCCGCGCTGGGCGGAGATGCTGGTGCATCCGACTCTGCAATTGATAAGCTCTGTACATCCGAAGAAAATCTTGTAAATTTAATCAGATTCCGAAAACTTATATTTCTGTTTGTACTGCTGTTATATATTTGACAAAACTCACTCCTCAAGAGCTTTTCCTTGCAATTCCGGATGGGGATTGCGGTATTTTGCGCTAGTGGCCAATCTACGGAACTCTCCAGCAGTCATAGCTTTTTTGTAAACATTATTTGTCTTCAACACTGCAAAACTTTGACGTTGAATCGTTTCTTTCACTGGACTGAAATAATTCGGCAACCATGAATGTCTTGCAAACAGACGATTTCCTCTCTACCTTTGTATAAGGAAATGTTCTACTTGTTCATCTTTGTAGTTAAACTTCTTCTTCGATGGCCTTGGAGACCATCCTTCTGGCGGTACAATCTGGAAGACATTTTTATGACCGAAAATTTTGGACGACTTCACAGTCAAATGCGACTACAGAGGTGAACTTACCTTACATATTCCCGATCTGCGGTGAGCACCGACAGCCTCAATCTTCTGTATATATCCTTTGAAATCTTTGAACTCATCATAGGTGGGATAGAAGGTGAAAATTTCAAAGCCGGGAGTACCAGTTGGGATATGAGGAGGATGACTTCTTCTGAAGTGTTAGCGCTCACAAAATAATACAACAAAAACAAAAGTTACTAGCTTTTCACACTTGGATTATGAGAGTAACGATTATGTCTGTGAAGAAAAGCTCCTTTCATGACAGGAAAAACATGTGAAAAAATGATAACAAAAAACAGAATGCTTGCAAATGAGCGAAGTTGGGATGAACTCAGTGACACGGAAACTCTTCTCAAAACGTGCGGATGTGGACTTCCACCACCAAATCGATCAATAATGCCAAATTTTACGCGAATCACTGAAAGTGAAACGGGGGCTGAGAATGTAAAGTTACATTCTTTAGGACTTTCTGTGATTCTGGTAAGTGCAAAACATTGCTATAGTAGGGTTTCAAGTAATTCGAGAAAGATGAGTTTTCAACATTTCTCCGCGGAAATCCGGGGTATCCGACTTGCGTTTTATACGGTAAATACTTTCGACCTCAAAAGGTTGTAAAACAAACCTGCTGGGAAAAGGAATCTCTCCACCATCAGCATATAGTGTCATCTGGCCACAGTCATATTGGATCAAGTGCTCACTCCTCAATGAGAATTTCCATAAGACGTAGAAATCCACAAGAAAGCATAATTAGCATAGAAAGCAATACGAGGCAGAATCTTCAAGATGATAAGATCAGAAGAGAACGACAAAAAAATTACTCCACTACTGAAAAGATAAAAGCGATAACTTCTACTTGTTATTCATTGAGATAAACAAACAACGGTTCTTCTGTGATAAATTAATTACATAATTGTTTCGCGGCAGCGAAAAAAGACGCTGCTAAAACTAGTCCTTTGTTTTCTCCTAACTTGGCAGAATTTAATATGCATCACTTGATCTTTTGGTAGCTGCAGTTACGACTCTAACAATAGCTATAAAATCTTATTAACATGGAAATCAGCGATGTGACAGATTATAACCATAACTCAAGCAAGAAAGAAAATATTATTAATAATTGCAAATGCCTTCGCGCTTGAGACTGTATGTTCGGAGCAAATTGCCAGAAACCGAGTACAGCGGCAGATGTATGTACATTTTTAAGAAAAACCAGGAAACTCAACATCCGATCTTAGACATCGAGCTCTGAGCAAACTCTTATCAGTGGCAAATTAATGAAACAGTGACTTGTCTCCATTTAGACAGTGAACAGTCGTTAGCAATTATCAGACTTGTAATTGATGTGCGAAAGACCGAAGAAATGTAACATTGCCACAAAAACTTCATTTAGCCCCATTTGTATTCGAGATGCTCCAAAAGAATTGAGATTTATACTAAATCATTCTGAAGTGCCTCGGAGAAGATAAGAAGCGTAACCTGAAGTCTTCCGGACCAACAGTATCCGACAAAAAGTAGTCCAGTCGGCGTTCAAACATCATCGAATAATTGTTATCAAATTAATAAAGACAAAACATAGCACTCAAAAACTTTTGACAATAACTAATGCGACAGCGTTACTGTAGGAAGTAAATGCTCACATGTTAGCCAATAATTATAAATGAGAATTCTGTTGCTGTTACTGTGGCTGGCAACAAATGTAATTTTGAAGTCCGTTGCCTAATAACAGCACGATGAACCTGCGATAGATGGCGATTACTCTGAGGACCATTCACCATAGAAAGCAACTTTGCACTTTAAAGCAAGGTTGTCATTAACCCCCTTTTGAATTAACCCATTCATGGAAGCAGTTTCTTTTGATGACACATAACTTGAGAATGGGTGTAGGGCGTTAGGTGACAAACCTGACTACTGGACTCTAAATAACCCTCTGTATTGGAACGCCTTCGGTGGCAAAAACGGGGAGGGGGAAGGAGATTCGGAGCCAGTACATCTCAACGCTTAGAAAAATGGTGCTTAATTGTCAGTTACAAGCTTTGCGTTGCTTACGTTTTGCATGTTTCGTCGCCTAGTGCTTGCCCTCCCTCGAGAATACATGAGATCTATAGGCCAGAATGTGACCGTTCGCAATGGTCTTCGAATTTGCATTGAGAGTGGGCCGCAAATGACTGACGAACGTCGTGTATTAGATCTTCGCTTTCATCCTTTCATCCCAGCTCAACTTCGAGAGGAAAAAAGTCAGCAGTTCAACCCTGCCTTCTTATAAAGCGACTTGACAATATCCAAGTTTACTAAAAGCAACCCCTTCACAGAATTGTCATTTTTGGTCCATTTCTGAATGTGTTTTGTTAGGACGAAAGAACACACCGTCAAAACACTCGCACATCAAAAGTGCATGCACTCCGCACCCATTCGGCACTGGCATTGGAATGAGGAGCAACCAAGCACCTGCTGGCCGATACCGTGACCCTTGCTCGCACCTGCGAAGAAGGACCATTCTAATAAGGCCACAGGAAAGAAGCGATCAGCTGGCAGCTGTTGTCCACAGACGCTCAGTCGTTGGCAAAGTGCCACGGCCGCTTCGCAGGCGGGAGTTTGAACACGTATTTGCGCGGTCGCCTATCGATTCGTGGCGACCACGGCGTCATTCGCACTCAGTCGCCGCCGTGGTCGCTCCTCTCTCCTATCGATCGCGGGTAGTCTTCCTCTCAATTCCTCTATATTTTGGGCTTGAATTCATCCTCTAGAGACGTATTAAGCATTCCTCTATGTAGAAAAGGGGGAGTCTGTTCGGTCCAAGCGAATTTGGTAGCTTTACCTGGAGAAGTGCACTTTAGGAAATCCCACCCTCTCGCGGTAGTCCCGCCGCGATGTCTCCATTGGCACCCAAGCGCGCCTTTGAGATTCTGCCTGTACCTATTCACATTTGCCCAACCATGCGAAGTGTTTCTACATCACATTCGATAGGTCTGGCCGTCCCGACGGGCTGTTACTGCTTTGTTACTCTGCTGTGTCGATGCCGACGCCTCTTCGACGATGTGCGTGTGCTGTTGTTTGGGTGAGCGTTCGTTCGCGCGCCGCGTGCTGCACTGCGCGTCCCTGCGATCGCGTGTTTCCCGCTCAGCACAGCCCCCTGCGATCGCGCCTCGTGATAGGCGTTCGCCGCCATTCCGCTCTCCCCATTCTTACATCCTCTCCCTTAGTGATGATGCCAAGTCTTCCATGTTCTGTCGTTTCATTGCTCATCGCCAGCTCAGTTTCTAACACGATGGCTTTATTTTCACTGCTTCAGAACTTTCGAAATGACGAAGGCAGCGAAGAAGGGCTCACCAGCCAAGAAAGAAACGAAGACGAAGAAGAGCAAAACCAAGGCATGTTCTAGCTCACTATCCTCCCCTTCATAACATTCATCTATCACTTCAGGACCCTAACGCTCCCAAAAGGGCCATGTCCGCTTTCTTCTTCTGGATGGCGGACAATCGCGAGCGTTTAAAGAAGCCAGGCATGGGAGTTGCCGAAGTCGCAAAGGCCGCCGGTGTCGAATGGGGCAAAGTCACTGACAAATCGGTTAGTTTTACTCGCCATTTCGGAGTATAGGGACTTACGTTGTTATCTTACAGAAGTGGGAGAAGAAAGCAGCCGAGGACAAAAAACGTTACGAGTCCGAAATGGCTGCATACAAGGGAAGCGATTAGACTGGACATCGATGAATCTACCTCGGGACCAAGCGCCGCTCTGCTACCCAGTGTTTTGATACTCATCTGTAAATAATTGCTTGTTGCACACTGAATGATCACATGATTTTGAATTCCACTGATTTCTTCCGTTCCTCAGCGTATTATCGTTTCCTTGTATAACTCATTTTTACCTTGTGCATATATATTGTAAAGCGAAGTAAATCTCTGGAATTGAGTGTGAAATTATAGTGACGATGGCGGGAAGAGAGGGAAAGTGTTGCCACTGCTAAATGTTATGCCATGTTATGGCACGCATTTATATGCGAGAAGTGGAAGAGAGTCAAAAACAAGGAGTATAGAGATGGAAAGCGTGTGTTGTGTGACGCACTGGTCATGAATCAAGTCTGAAAACACTGCGGCAACACAAATTGCAGAACCAAAGTTAGGAGCTCTTCATATCTTTTTGGAGGAGTGAAAAATCACCGCAATCGCGGAGTGAGACGTGAAATCTAAAAGCTTCACCGCATGGAGCGTGGTGAAGTGCTGCTTCTCATGCAGGAGGTGAATTCCAAAGTGGAATTATCTACCCGATAAACCGCTGAGATCTCTTCTGCTTGAAGATTGACTCGAGCCTTGTACGCTCGAACAAGCGCATTCACTGACGGGTGAAATAGTTGTTATTATTTTATTTTATCGCTTATTATTTTCTGCAGCTCAAAGCATAAACTACGCTGTTGTTATGCAGAGTGAGATTTTGTTATGTCGATACATAACCTCCGTATTGTGAGTGTCAGGGGCTGTGCTGTGTTATTTGCCTCTGCGGCTAGGAGCCACGCTCGCTCGCTCAATTGTCGCGGCAGCAGACAACGCCCGGGCGACGAGCGGGTCACATACACCCAACATCTGCGCTTTGTGTTGCGAACGAGCACAGAGGGGCTGTATTTGAACGCTCGCCGCGTCAGCGATCGCACAATGCACCTGGCCACGAAGCGGAGAAGGGCTATTGTGATGAAATGGCGACTGGAAGGTCTTAGGGCGAGTGAGTCTTGTCTGTTTCGATGACCCTAGAGTGACAGGACTTCTTGTCAGCTATCTGTTTTTTATATGGCAGATATGGCAGTAGAACCTGATGCTCAGCAGGCTAAGAATGGATTTGAGCACGTCCACAGTTGAGGTCGCGCGAATGCATGGAAGCTTTGGCTTTGCTTAGAAATCAAAGCTTTGAGAATCAAAACCGTAAGTCGCTCAAAGAACGAAACTACTTATCATATCATCGTTTAATGAGGTTCCCGCCAGAAAAGGAAAGGGCGTCCCCCCTTCCCAAAAAGGGTGCGAAATTTCTGGAAGCTACCCACACGTCTTATCAAAAGTGCAAGTGACTGTTTTTTGTAAACAATATACCATATTTATTCTTTTGAAAGTGTAAGATTAAAGTCCGCTCACGAAAAAAAAAGGCGCCGCTATTATACACTGCACGAAATTCTAGGTCCACCCTAAAGAATGCCATAACCCATTCTGTTATCTATAAAATATTCCAGAATTTGGTACAGGTCGTGTGTTTACCAGCCTACTATCAGCCGAGACGGGTCTCATTTTCGTTTGGTTGTTCAAGAAAAAATCAAAAATTTTGAAAAAGCAGGTTCGAAGGCTGGTGAAAATTTTAGGTGCACCTGGAGTTTTTATTCGCTGAAGCACTTCTTAGCTTCCAAATTTTTTTAGGTACACATTCAGAAGTGTCAAACACTGACTTCACTTAAGCTGTATCCCTCCAAAAGAGCCGATTTTCTGCTTCTTTGCCTTGAAAATGCTTTCACATGTATGTATTTCGCTCCAGAAACTGCTTTTTGACGTAAGCGTTGAAGAAAAAATTTGATTTTTTGCTGTTGAAGCAAATTCAACATGACAGAAACTACAATCCTGAGTTCAAATTTGCCTTTAAACTTCTTCTGCATTGTCCTCAGAAGCATCAACTAGAGTGAACGCATTTTTTTGTACGAAGAGGAGTCCGTATCCCATGGTTACACTTCTAGAGATCCAGCATTCAGGTATAATTGCGGAAAAATCACCCTGCAGAAACTGATTGCGACAAGCACCAAAGCTATTTCTAGCTCTGACTTATCTCAGGAGAATCATGTGCGAACACACAATACCAATGATAACACGGAAGAGATTTTAGGCAGAAATTGAGCCTTAAGCTTCCAAAGGGATCGATGTCGGATTTGCTTCAGCAGCAAAAAAAAGAGGATTTTTTCCTCTGTCGGGACGCAGCTAAGCCCCGCCTGCTGCTCTCCCGTGAGCTGGTCGAGAAGGTCAGATAGGAGCCAGTGACCCCCTACGACCGCGCACCGTGAGGCTGCTCAGTCAGTCCTCCCCCTTCCCCTTTCTTGTAATATATGTAGATAATAAATATATATAATACCAACCTGTACCGCTACACATCAAGCTAGGGCCCGTACACCCCTAGACTTGAATGAGGTGAAGGTCGTGTTTGGTTATCCAGTCCGCCTAAGCCAACTCCTCTACTCAATCAAGCAGAAGATAATGGTACTGAAATCGAAGTTCCTTATGGTCTCGCCGTAACACGTGTACCCTTTACACACGTAACTCGGAAGACATTCAATAACAGCCGAACAAGCTCGAGGACGAGCTTTCTGAAGGAATGGAGATGTCGGGACGCAGCTAAGCCCCGCCTGCTGCTCTCCCGTGAGCTGGTCGAGAAGGTCAGATAGGAGCCAGTGACCCCCTACGACCGCGCACCGTGAGGCTGCTCAGTCAGTCCTCCCCCTTCCCCTTTCTTGTAATATATGTAGATAATAAATATATATAATACCAACCTGTACCGCTACACATCAGGTAAGGGAATCGCGAACCCTTAATCCTGACACCTCAATGCTCACGTCAAAAAGCATCTAGAACATGGATCATACCTCATCACTTTCGAACCAGTTGAGAAAGTGCATAATTTCCTACTCAAACGCATATTTCTGGAGCGAAATACATGTGGCATCTTCAAGGGGAAAAAAACAGATGATAGGTTCTTTCGGAGGTACGACACAACTTGAATTAAAAATCGTTCAAATATATAACTATCTAAAATAATTCCGAAGCAAGGAAGTGCTTCAATGAGTAAGAATTCCAGGTGGACCTATAATTTTGACCAGCCTTCAAGCCTACTTTTTCAAGCTTTTTCAAGATTTTTGATTTTTTCTTGAATAACGAAACAAAAACGAGACCCGTTTTGATGATTGATTAGGCTGGTAAACACACGGGTGTGCCAAATTCTGGAAAACTTTGTTGACAGCAGAATAAGTTATGGCGTTTTTTTAAAGTGGACATATACTTTGTCCAGCACCGTATGAAACAGAATTTCGCTCAAGATTTGTTTAGAGACCTTTTTTACCTCTTCCTTTCGATTTATTTCTTTTGTCAGCAATCGAAAGGTATTACATGCTTCACAGCAACTAAAAAAAACAGAGGCACAATTGTGTGCTTTCACTCATATGACATCCTGGCAATATAAGGATTTTTCAGATGCGACAGTCTTCTTCCCTGAATGTCACCTTTTTCTTGCTTAGCTTCACAATCGCCGAGCTCTTAAGTTGCAGCCAGCTTTTGGGATCGACACGACACATCACATACTTGACAATACTTAGGCCAAATTAACAGCAAGTCGGCTTTATGTTTTGAAATAAAAAAGCGAAACCAACCCAAAATGGCTAATGAAACCCGGGGCTGTATGTATCAATCTCCCGTTCGGGCATATGTTCTCGTACAAGTTGTAAATCCAGCTGAACCACCGAAGGCCCAATGCGCAAACGTGATCGCCTTACTGTGCAGAAGCCCCGTCAGGCAGATTCGGGTAGGTCTAGATTGTCCACCTAACCCAACCAAGAACACAGATACCCAGATTGAGCTATGAAGCGAATACTACCTGAGTGGGGAACCCTTACCCGGACGGGCGATTGACACATACCGCCCCAGTCGATTACGTTCGCACATCATGGGCTTTTGGTGCCCGCATCTGACTGGATTACAACCTGTATGGAAAACACCAACCCGAATGGGAGATTGATGCGTACCACCCCTTATACGCTGGCTTTTGTATGCTGATTACTATTGTGGTACCGATTGTACGCTAAAACCGTTCCAAATTAGGCATATGGAGCTTTTGATAGCATGTTATAGTAGGACCCTTATCAAGCTAATGCTCAAGTCGCGGCGCAATTAATCGCTTTTTAAGCAAGAAAATCGCTCTGATTTAACGGAAAGTACAAAGGACCTCTAGGCGACAGCGCCCGCTCCAGTAATGTCCGCCTATCCGTTCCCCCTCATCCAATTCCCGTACCGGAACCCTCCTCGCAGATTCTTCGGCAGGAGGACTGGCTCGATTTCATATTCGAAATCAGGGACATGAAAAGGCCGAGGAACGACAAAAGCAGGCAGACGAGAATCTGGATGGACGGTGTCTTCAAAGGATGATCTTTTTAGCTTGAATGAAATATGAACTTTTTAGCTTGAATGAACTTACATATCGTATGCCAACATATTAGCTACTAGAAAGGTCTTATTCGGGCGCCATCAGTAAACTGTGAAGCATGCTGGGAAAGTGGTTTTTGCTAAACTATAATAGTATTACTATATACATGATCAATTTGCCAAAACCCTTTTGGGCCATATTTTAGCGAATCTCATGATTTCGAGTTTTTGGGTTACGTCATCATTACGACAACTATCTTCGAAGTAAGAGAAACATGATCCACATTAACTTCTTTAGTTTTTTCGTGGATACACTTCTAACCTCAGAGGAAGCGAGAATGGGTCACGAACTTTCTAGGAAGGCTTTGGACGCAATGATTTTTTTTTTTGAAAAGTAACTTCGGCTAATCAAAGCTTCATACAGGGATACCACTTCTACGAATAGCTTCGGAGCTTTGAGGTCTTCAAAATTCTCTTAGCATAAAAGAGTTCAGAACTAGATTTTCAGACTTCTAATTTAGTTCTGATAAAAATTCTAATAT